AGCTTCTGAAAATATTAGTCCCTATACTCTTCCTTCATATTCTCTTCCAGAAGTTGTTTCTTTTCCTGAAATTCTTAAGCCGTTCATAATGTGATTTGTAATTTTCTTCTGTAAATTACGTCTCTTCCCAGACATGAATGTGAAAGACACAGAAATTAGTATTCTTTATTACTGAGCTATTTCTTTCCATCACAGAAGGAGAAAGACACGTTGTTTGCCAAAAGCCAACATTAAAAATTGTTTAGATGTGAGCCCTATAGTAAGGGAAAAGCTTGCTGTCAGGTTTGTAAAGAAAAAAAAAATATCTTCCTAGGCGAATTATTTCTTTGCTGGTGTTTAGCACAGAACAGCACAGGTTCTGAGGGACTCCTGTCCTTCCCAGACAAAAATGAGTCTGAGATCAATTATTTATTCTTTTTTAATAGTTAAGAATAAGATGAACCTTAAAAACGCCATGAAATCAAGAGGAGTTTCTAGTGGAACAGAATGAGGTGCAGCTTTCTTTGGGCAGGATTACAAATCAAATATGAAAATCTATTTTTCTACCTAAATAACAAACCAGGTATTCACCCTCATCTCTACCACCTCCAATGTGCATAGTGGACCATTCATAAGTAAAGTAGTCGAGATTTTTTTATGCTAAATAAAAAAGAAATTTAAAGCGATAATTTATATCAGCAAGCACATTTAGATAAAATACAGAGGAAAGAGTAAGATTTACAAACCGAGTGAGGCATCTGAAGTGGGATTTTGCTCGAATACTGGTATGTAAATTGAAGGCATAAAATGACATACATCAACACATAAGCTTTTATCACTAATATTCCCAAGCTGCCTAGCATTCTGCTTCTGCACATGTCCAAAGTTACACCAGATAAATCAAGGCCGAGGGGTTCAATACCTAAACCTAACTGGGATCCTCAGACTGAGCAGTTCCCTGATGTATCTTCACCGGAGCACACAAGCTCCCTCAGCGTGTGTTGCAGAGGGAGCCTCGGAACCTGACCCGCTGTGATACAGATCCCCACTCAAGTTTTCCACCTATTAAACTTCAAGTATGCAACACAGAGACTCGCATAATCTAAGTTCTTTTGCAGCTCCAACTCCCTGAATAAACTCTTCGACACACATATTCAAACCAACCCTAAGAGCTTTCAACACAGTGAGCGCGGGAGGTTCTCTTTAAAGTAGCAAACTGTGAGTTACAGTGCTTGCATTTCACTCATTAATACCAGCCACTAATTTCTAGATGTGTTTATGAATGTGCTATTATCAACATATCCTATATTCATAGACAATAAAAACAGCATCTAGGTGTAATGGGAACGGCATATTTACAGGTTATGAATTAACTATTGAGTCAAGAACGAATACTATTGCTGACACAATTCCCCAACAGTTACCACCTCAAAAGCAGTATCAACTGGCATACATATGCAAACAAGTTCAAACAGATTTCACATTGCTAATATGGAACTAGTTTATCCCGCAAATACACAGTGTCCCCTGCTGTGATGAAAGGAGACATGCCCAACATATTAAAGTTACGCTGAACAAAGGAAGAGATTTTAGGAAAAGACCCAATTGTTATAAAAGTATGATGCTAAAACATGCTCTCCACAGCACCAGGGACTGTCGATGAAAGCCATAGAGCCTTGATATTGAACTGCACTTTAAATTTGATAGTGAAAAAAAAATGCAGAAGAAATCAGTGTCACATACTGAAAATCATACTATTTGCTGATGAAGGCAATTATGAGAACTCCAACAATCGGGATTTTCATAACCAGCTTCAGTCATTTCACAATACACTAATCTGCAACTTGGCTACAAGTATCTACCCCTGTCATACAAACAGAAACAACCTCAGTTCTTTCTGCTGATTAAAGGTTGATGCAAACACTAATAAACACTGTGGTTAAGGAGATGTGTTGACAGATCAGCCCATAGTGTACAGCAACCAAACATCACTAAGAAGCATTTTATGGGCAGATATAGGCAAAAAGTAATTCTAGCTTTCAAAATATCATCCTATCAAAATAATCAGGAAAAAAAATGACTTGATTTACTCAATAAACTATGAAAAATTCATACACCTATATTCAGTAACTTTAGAACAACCCAAATGCTTTTATATTGATTTTGAAATTGTTGGTACAAAATCATTAGCAGAAGGTTTTTAAAGTATCCTTCAAAAAAGTTTGACTTTTACAAATTTTAATTATCTAATTACAAAAATGTCAAGACTTCATTTTTCAAATTAAATTAGGGATCTTCTACTACTGACCCATACTAACACCTCTTCTAATTTCAAAGCATAAATTATGAACTTGTCCAGGCGGGTTTTGAATGTCTCCTTCTCTGGAGACATTCAAAACCCACCTGGACAAGTTCCTTTGCAACCTGCTCTAGGTGGACCTGCTTTGGCAGGGGAGTTGGACTAGATGATCTCCAGAGGTCCCTTCCAACCCCATGTGATTCTGCCACTATTTCTATTGAAAAATAATTTTGATGGAGAATTCCAAATCACCAGCTCTTCTGAGGTTGAGAATAAATTTTAATTGTATAGCTCTGCATATTAATACTTTCTTTAAGGAACTATTAATTTTCATAGAAAAAGAAAATAAATAATAAGCCATAAAGAGCTATCAGTAATATTTTTCAATTTAAAAAATACTTGTTCCATTGCATTATTTCTCCTTTTTTATATTTCCATTTAGAAAAAAAGTCTTAGAAAAACAGTATATTTGCCACCTCCGTAGAAATTCTGTTTCTTAATTTGTGCACACCAAACCGTTTGAAAGCATCCAGCTCAAATCTTTCAACGTATTTCTATCTGGCTTTTTGCCCTTGTTTTTTCTATTCTCTGTAGCATTGCTGTTCTTTTGAAGAGAACAGTTGAAACTGGAGAATACGCATTATTAAATATCTTAAGCATTACACACCAGGATATCAATACAGCATAAGAAGCCAAATAATAGAAATTTTACAGAAACTATCCTTGAAGAGAAATTAATCTAATGAATTAATTTAAGATAGGTCTCCACACATGTTCAAGAAGCTGCAGTAGTTATAGGAGCATGACACATAGGAAACAACTGTCTTCTTTCTCATCTTGCTTTCTTGGCGTCTGTGTTATTGTCACTAGTACACATTTTCAGGATTGTGCAGCTCTGCCAGTTCTGACAGTCATATCTGATTTTTGGTTTTACCTCAGCAAAACAATGGCACCCTCAGCAGAACCATGGCACCCATGAGTAACCTTCTTCCCCAGTTCCCTACAAGGATCCGTTTCTTTCTCCCTGGTGACACTAGTGGTGGCCTCGTTGCCTACGTCAAGTGAGGTATCTGACTGTTCAGGCAGCACTTGCTGCTCAAGCAGCTGCTCCTGTCTCCTCAGGGAAACGTCAGGAGGAGTATATTGATTCAGCTAATTCATTTTTAGGATAGTAAACGATTTTAATGGAGAAAAGATTTGTCATGATATGCATGCTCAGTCTGGTTGGGGAATGGACTAAGGCCCCATTGTCAAAAATAGACTGCTTTCAAAGAACCCTCTTCTTAAATGGCATGACCCAAATTCACTGTTCAGAAAGTGTGGCTGACAAGGCTTCCCCTTTGCAAGAGCAATGATTTCATTACACTATCACTAACAGCTCTGTTATCATATGAACAGGAAAAGGAGACATTTGCAGCTTTAGAATACAATATAAACTAAAATGTTTAAATACAACGTAGACTAAGATGTCTTGCTGGCAAGAAGATCATGCCAGACTAAACCAATAGCTTTCCTTTAATAAGAGAACTGATAAGCTCAATGAAATATCTATCTGGATTTCAGCAAGGTGTTTCACACAATGCCACATGTGAAAAGGTTAGTTAAAGTTGAAAATACATAGGCTAGCAGCGAAACTGAAAAGTGGATACGGAATTGGCTAAAGAAGAGATGGCAATAAGTTGTTCTGAAAGGCTCAAAGACAGTTAACAACCAAGAGGCAAATTTTGGGGCAAAAAGTATTTATAAATTGAGAATGAAAAAAACTACAATGGAACAGCAAATAGATTTCTAAAAGAAAGTCAAAGAAAAGATTTCTTTCAGAAAAAGCAAAAACTTCTAAGATGGAGTCTGATAAGTTTATGGTGCTCAAATGAGAAACTTGGAGACCAAGAAGGTCCCTTTTGACCCTGGGTTTCAAAATTTCTTACCCCTTATATTCTTTTATCAAATTCCATTACCCTAACCATCAGCGTATCACCACATTCTGTACATAGCCCGTGCTTTCTTAAGGCACATTTATCTCCTGAATTACCTGATTTGAATTACTCAAACTAATATTCTTAGGACTTATCACTCATGACCTACGTGATAAGGTCCCTCACTCTCAAAAGCCCATTTAAGCCATTTTCAGTGAAAAAGTAATGAATGCATTTCTTCACTACCTCTAGCTTTACTGTTGTGCCTTTTCTCCTTCTCTCATTCTTATTAGTTGCCTTTCTCAATTCTTCACCATTTTCTCCTGCTTTTCTGTTTTTCCTTACTACTCATTAACGCTTGTTAACGCTGTTTTCCTTAGCAAATATGAGGAGCGCCAATAGCAATGATTCATTCTTTTGCATACATTACCTGCCAGATTCACAGCTCTGACTTTGCTTTTAGAAATTATCTTGTCTCAGCCACAGATATCAATACTACAGATTTCAGAGAAACTAAAGAAATCAGAAGTATATTTAAGCCTTTCTCCTTTGTCCTCACCAACTTGAAAAAATGCACTAAAAATACAGTGTAGCACAAAATTAGGGGGTAAGTATTCTGGTATTATTCTTGCCATTTGCATATTCTGGGTTTATCTGAAGTTCATCGTGTCTATTTCTGGACTCACTGTATATGGGTAAGACATGTATAATCAACCCTTAAACCAAATTCCTTCCCTGCTCTGTGTGCAGGTGTTCTGCAGGCAGCTCTTCTGCATGTGAACTAAAAATTAAAAAAATATCCTTACCTTTTAGGTGGATCTGTGATAAGCTTCGCTCTGCTGGAAATCGCTCTCATATACATCATGCACAAGCCTTACAGGCTAAGAGACCAGTACCTAATAAAAAATTCAAAGTCACTGCACGTAATAGGTAATGAAGTGCTGGTTCTAGGCAGCAGCACAGGAACTTCAGGTGTTTGCTTAATATTCACTAAGCATATTCCTAAATAGTCCATACACATTTTTTAAAATTTCTTTCACGTAATGCTGCACTTTTTTAGATCCTATAAAAGACACTTGTTCAATAATATCCACTAAGTAGCTGGGCCTGGGGAAAAGGTATCATTTGCACAAAAGAATTAGAAAGACATTTAGTAGAAAATGACATATTTTTGAAGACAGCATTCCAGTAAAATACTATAAGAACTTAGGCAAAGCAAGTTAATGTTTGCATTACTTATATTTCATTTGCAAAAAAGAATTTGAATTATTGATTTAAACACATTTAAAGCCTAAATAGCACAGATGGGAACACATGAACAGGTTAACATGTCATGATCATATACATACATTAAAAAATGTAGTGTAGTTAGTGAGCTTTTCAATTAGTAAAATAATACACATGAATAAAAGAAAACATACCTCTTGTTTTAACAACTAATTTTTTTTGTCTTCCTACATTTCTGGAGTTACTTAGTTTTCACAAATTTTGCCACCCAGCTTTTGTATTCTGTCAAGTTCTAATGAATTGGTAAGTACAGAAAATTAAAATACAGGTGGAGAAAGAAGCAAAATTATTTAATAGGAAAACTATAGTATAAAAGAAACTGAAGTATATTGAGCTTACCAGCTCTCATTATCACTAAAATCTTGATGTATGGCTCAAAATGTAAAAGGCTTTTAAATGGTCATTCACTTTTTGTTTCGGCTTATAAAAAGAGATAAGTCTATAGATTTTTATATAAAATAGCTTGCTGACAAAATTATTTTAAAACATTGAAAAATAGTATCTAAAAATGTAGGCTGAATCTGTGATTCTAGCTCCACGAGGACAGTCTATGCCTTAGTAAGAAAGCCTCTAACATCGGTAAGTCTACTTAGCAGCCTGTGAACTATGTGGCAGGATGTAGCCCTAATATATTTTAGAATTAGTGTTATTAGGTTAGCGTACACCACCTTTCTTCATGATCCATACTAAAAGGTACAGTAGAAACAGACTTAGGTATAATTCTGTTTCCCTCACAGAACTCTCTGCCTCCCCCCAAAACACAGTGAGACTTCTCGTCGTTTTCTTGCCCTCTTCTATAAGCAATAAATTTAAGGAAACACACAAATGTGTGTGTGCGCACATGTCTGCGTGAACCTCGAGGGGAAGAATAAGCTATAGCAAAGGAAGACAAAAGTAGAATTGATTTGGCTTAAAAATATTCAGGCAATAGATTGACTGCTCTTAAACTCTTGGATTACTTTCCAATGTCCAGTACTATTCTTCACTTCTCAAGGGAGAGTGAAAGAATTGCCTATTTTTCATGAGGGGTAGGACCTCAAAAGACAGGTAATGGCCATTCTGCTGCAAGATCATATAACCACAAACTCTGAAAACTTGATATTTAAGTTGAGCAATGATTTCAGGGATGTGGATTTTGAAAAATGGTGATGTTCCTCCATCTTTCTATGGCAGCTTTCTATGGTGAGATAAACCTGATGCACACGCGTGTAAGATTCAGACAGAAGAAATGCCATAAGGGAGAAAAGGCAACATCTCCATCAATAAGCAAACACAGGCCAGGCACAAGAAATATATCCAAACCAGTTCAGATGCAGGTAGAGCACTATTGTAAGTCTATTTTTGCATGCCCGTTTAAATTCTGTAAGCCTCCATAAATGCAGTTATCATTACCATTGTTGCCTTATCATTCTCAGTGATTGCTCTCTTTCAGTCAAGTACAAAGGCAGGCTGAATATAAATGTTTTGTCATAAAACTGCTATTCAAACAATAAAAAGGGTTATAATAGTACTAAAAAAATCACCCCCAGGGCTGCAGCACAGACTGGTAGTATGCATATTCAGGCAGCGCAAAGCAGTTCCAGTCACATACTTCTACCCATAGGACCCTTCCAGTGCATCTGTACTTAATATCAGCATGTTGCCAAAAGTGATCCAGATATTATCAGGTAGTCAAGATATACAGAACATTTTGGAATCTCATTCAATAAGAGGAACACAGTTTAATATTATTGCGTATCTGCATTGAATTCAGCAAATATCAACAAATTTAGCTTAAGGACTCGTCTTTAATTTTTAAAAAGAAAACTGCTTCAATTATGTTTTCTGCCTTTATCCAAAAATGCTTTTGTTGGTCCCAGGTTTAGCCATGTAGTGCCACCCAGGGGCCAACTGCAAGATGGTTCAACACTGCCATCTTGCCAAATAGCCTCAAAAAAGCATTAAGCAATACATCCCAGACAGTCTTCTACCTAGGCTTGAGTGTTCTTTTTAAAATGTCTTAGAGGCTTTGGTCTCCTTTTTTTGTAGCATAGAGACAAGAGAGGTAGGGTCAGGTCAGGCAGAGAAGGGTGAAAGGACATGTGACAAGCAAGGGACCACCAAAACAAAACAAACTAATTACTCCCATAGAGTGACAGGATGGTTATCTGATCCAAAAAAAAAAAAAAAAAAAAAAAAAAGAAAAAAGAAAAAAAAAGGAAAAAAAAATTGGAGGAAAAAAATTATAAAAAAACCCCACAGGTAGAATTTAAAACAAAAGGTTTATCAGCACTGAAAGCCCACTGCCCTGGGTAAATGTGCTTCCTTGCAACAATAAAGACAAATAAAGTACTAAAAAAGGATAAAGCAGGAGATTACAGACCTAGCTGTGGTTTGATAAATGGCACTCTACTCCACTCTGCTTATTGTGTACTTCATACCTCGCTCTTGAATATGGAAGAGAATTTTATTAAAGATTTAGCCACGGTGGTGGTGGTGACTGGCTCACAGTAATTTTCCTACAAAGTAGTTTAATCTATCACAGGGCAGACAGTGCACCTTCTTACCATGTATCATATCTGTCTATTGAGTAAGTGCTATCCAAATCCAATTTCTTTTCATTTTTGGAACCCGTGATGCATATTCAAGATACATTTTCTTTTTGTCTGTGGCCTAAATTAGGTGCTGTATAAAGAAAAAAAGAAAAAAAAAAAGTGAAGTAATAAAAACGACTGGACTCTAAAGGCTACATTTCTCAGTGGGCATTTTCTTTTTTCTCTTTTCTTTTTTTTTTTTTCCCCAGTACAGTACTAATGATGCAAAACAATGGGCATGTGTGGTTGTCACTGAACTCACAATACTGCCAGTGCTCAGCCATACCCCCAGATCTTTGCCCCGGCTCTTACAGGTGAAACTTATAAAATAGCTGTAATAAAGCCTTAACTTTCTTTAATATTTCAGTGGGTTTTTTTCTGTATTTAATGAAAATAATGATCAAAATCATTGTGCTTGATTTTACTGGAAGATCTGAGGCTGGAAAAACTGTTGGTTTAGGCAATTAATATTAGAGAATTAGAGCCTAAGGATCTAAAAATTACAGAATGGTTCTCTGCTTTGGTTCTTATTTTCCCCCAATCAGGCCTAAGAAACAGCTCCTATCAATTTCTTCATTTTAACTGTAAATGACCCTATATGATTCAACAAGAATCTAAGAAATTAAGTACTCTAATGTCTGATAATTTCTCAGTTCTGGTTAAGTATTTAATAGAATCATAGAATGGTTAGAGTTGGAAGGGACCTTAAAAATCATTGAGTTCCAACCCCCCTGCCATGGGCAGGGACACCTCCCACCAGACCAGGTTGCTCAAAGCCCCATCCAGCCAGAATGCTTCCAGGGATGGGGCATCCACAACTTCCCTGGGCAACCTGTTCCAGTGATTCACCACCATCCCAGTAAAGAATTTCTTCCTAATATATAATCTAAATCTCCCCTCTTCCAATTTAAAACCATTACCCCTTGTGCTGTCATTTTTCCTCCTAGTCCATGGCTTTTGGTTTAGGGACTGGGGCATTTTTCCATTTCCTTACTTCTGGCTGTCTGCTGGGCATGTTCATCAAACTGAGAGAAAAATTCAAGATGTCTATTCCAAAACTCATCGTTACATATAAAGTGCCCTGTCTAAGAAATCACCATTAATACAGGATATAGTGGTCTTCACAGATCTCAGCAAACTTTCCAGGGGCAACTAAAGGTGATGGACTTGGTCCTTTATGGTTTGTATCCTCTGTGTATTAGAGTATGATTCCATCCCTCTGTTAAACCAGCATCTAAGATTAGTGTATGCATTTCAAGGTGATAATCAGAATGTTTAATTTAATAACGTTTGAATTTATGCCTGCCTCACTATGGGTGATTATGAGATGTTAAATTTACTGTGCTAAGAGAAAGAGCACTTTTTTACCTAGAATAGCTTCCAAAGAGCAATCCTGGAAATGTGAGAGTCTTAGCGTAGAAGAACTATTCCAGCTTTGGTCCCATGGAAGGATCTTTTTCAGGTTGTATCAAGAATTTTTCTTTCAATTTGATCATCTTTGTTGACACATGCAACAGGCTGAAACAGTTACTTGTAACATGTTTTTTTCACTTGATATCCACAATATCATATTTTTCTCTTGGACTTCATGTTTCTAATCTTTGCCTTCTTATCAATATATTTTTCCTTAATAATTTAAGTATCACTAGCCTAGTGCCGATAGACATAGTCCCATTCAGGTCTGAGACTTTAACAACAGCAGAGACTACAAAAAAAATGGTGTTCACATCCTCAGTACTAATGTTTTTTGTTGGTCTGTGCAACATGTGTGCATTGCTAAACATTTCAGTCCGTATTTCACCTTAGACAAGACTACTGAAAAAGCAAGCCAGGTTAGAGCAGTCTGAGTTTGCTGAGAGCTTATGACACCTTAGAAGCTGTTCTCAAAGTCTTTCCTAATCATTTCTCTGCCCCTACAAGGGCAACACTTACACTCAAAGATGACCTGAAAGGATTGCCAAATTTTTCATTGTATCATGGGATTTCTTCCCTGATTCCATTACAGATTGTATTTTTGTCTAGTGAATAATATACAC